GCGGACAACATCCAACAGCACATTGAAATCAGCCAAGATTTTGATTTTGACATTAAACATAGCTTCTTCATTAAACATAGCACTCTTCATTTAGCTCAGCTATAATGTGTTTTTTCTTGGACAAAGTCATTATTTGTTCTCTAAAACACTGGTCGACAATAACAAAATCAATACAAATTCAAAATAAATATTTGTTTACGTTATTAACGCATGCGCAATGAGAGATAATGTCTGCGTTTGACCGACTGTTCACGCTGAGCTAACAAAAAAGTATTTTTTTGGAGTCAGCTCTACGCCAACTTTCCGCTGACACCCAGATAAGGCGCTAGTTCTAAGAAACCAGGCCTTAAGCTAACAAACCAGTATTTTGTTTGCGTCAACGGGACGTTGACGTCCCGCTGACGTCCAGATAAGGCGCTTGTCCTAAGAAACCAGACCTTTAGACTTGAAAATAGGAAAAAGGATGGAATACAACTTAGCAGCATCGAATTCACAAAACCAATATCTATCTGAGAGCTGCCCTGAATGAAAGAAAAAAAGTTCTTTGTCTATACATTTGCAGGGTGTTCCGAAATTACCACCCTAACTATGTATCGTTATAATCCTAGTCAAAAACGAAATAAAAAAATATACGCATTACAGGCTGCGAATTAATTTCTTTTAAACGGGGAAAAGCATAAAGCGTTATCAAAATGCTACGAACCAATATTGAAAAAGATGGAATAAAAAAAAGGGCTGTTAGATTGGCGGAAGAAAGTTACAAATTTCTTTAAAAAACCAAATCGTTTTTGTTTTGTTTCATTCCGCCTTCCTAAATGAATCCTCATAGTTCAAAATAATTTTCTTCTCACATTAATATTAATTTGCGACTCCTAAGATATATATTTTTCTGATCATAAATTATTGTTAGCAGAAACTGATATATTAAAAAAAGTGGCAAATTACACATTGGATTCATGCTACTGTTGAAGAAAGCATACATTTTTAGAAAACGGCGTTTCAATCGAAATAGTATATTATTAAACACAGAAATTTCATGTTGTATTAAGAATTTGTAGTTGCTTCTCTTT